TATTTATAACTGCATTATTCATAATTATTTTTGTTAACAGAAAAAAATATATATACAATTATTTATATCAATTATTGTATATAATTTCAAAAGTATCACGCTTGGACCAGCGTAATACACTGGGCCCCCCGAGGAGTAACGTCAGCGAGACGTTTACAAAATATAACATATATAACATATATAATATAACAACAAAATATTCTATAACAAGGGACTTGCAATGTCTACAATAGAAATACTAGATACGAGTACAATTACAACTTTACCTATGATTAATCTTGGTCTTATATCTAAATTATAATAATCAGAAAAAATCTCCATATATATAGGACAAAATCTATTACAATAAACACGTATTTCATAAAAAAATAATCTACAAAGACCCCAAGTATCTTCGTCGGGGCCATACTCTCCTAAATAGTAAACAGAATGAGTCAAACGGTTACATTTTCTTAAAATCCGCAGATCGGCTTAATCTTGAAACTAACAAAAGGAAAATTTTAATATGACATACATATAAATAGATAGATAAAAATTATTCACAAACCAAAAATACTTACACATACTCTTAAATATTTTCTAGTCTCAGCTTTAGGCGCAGCAGATAGAGGCAAATTGCCTCTCTTGGTAAGTTTCACCGCATGGGCGTATTGCAAAAAAATCCTCAAACTAAAAAAGAAAAAATAATAGAACGTATACACATATACATATATATAACTTAATTTTCAATAATTTAATATATAGTGACGTTACACCAACCATAGAAAAACACTTCCTTGGAAAACTAAACATTATTTTTACACTTGCAAACAACAAGAAGAAAACTATGTAGAATCGAAACTTCGCACTCGTTATATACCAAACTTTGTAACGGAGAGAAATTAACTGTGAAAATGGTAGTACACAATCCTATGGTGCAGAGCTAACCACCACTCTGTTAGTTATGTATGGACATACGTGTCTTCACCTTTAGATCTGTCACTTCGCTCTAACTTCAAGTAACTCCCAATATTAAACTCACCTTAAGTCACTTGACTGCTAATTCTTGTTACTCGTACCTCATACTGTAAATAGGCTTATGCTTACTTTTCCCAATTCCCTAGACTAAATTAATTCAAATACTAGGATTGGATTAAGCGTTAGTCAGGGAGCGAAAGGTTATAAAACGGTGAATTAACCTAAATCCTTTTAATATACTGGACTATACAATCTTCGTATGGGCCGAAAGACTTTCGCGTGTGTATAGGTTTACATAACAATCTGGGGGGAGAGAGACAGAAAATACAAAATTCAATGCGAACTAACGATCGGCGCGGTGTACCTAAAGGGTTATTCGGCATATATATAACAATTATCACGCGGTACTACGAAAATAAAGTCGCAGTTAGGTGCAGCTACCCTGAATTGCAGTTACGGTCATCAGCCGTAACCGTGCGTGCCAATAAAGGTACCAGGAGCTCCTGGTCAACACGGGTGTAGCTACTGCCGCTGCTGCTGCGCGCTGGTTGCTGCTAGCCAGTATTGCTGACAGTTGCTGCTGGTTGCGGCTGGTGTAATGTTGGCTCAATAACCGGAGACTACTGGCTCGCAAAATTCTAGCGATGCCTCACAACGATTTTCACCCTGGACACTTTGCAAGAATCAACACCCGTCTTTCTTACCAGCTCTACGATCCTAATTCTACTTCTCGCGGGCGCCGCCTCTCTCTCCAAATAGCTAGCTCGCGCGCTCCGATACTTTCAATCGATTACCACTGCAACTTATACTTACTAAACAAAATATTCGTTGACTTCTAAAAATTTTGTAAACTGAATATCAAAAACGTATCAAACAGCAATTCTCAAATATTGTAATTAATTCATATTAATCGCAATATTTCAAGCTCCGAGGTGTTAGGTTTTACAACGTAATTCTACAAAGCTTTTCAATTTTTAACTTTATACATACGTTTCAAGAAATCAAAATTATGTATATGTCTGCAGAATAGAATTCTACTGACACAATTTTATAACTCAAACACTGCAAAAATGAAACACTCAACAGTTTATAACGTAACAAGCGAAGAGAACACTATATACAAATATACAAAATAATAAACAATGTAATATAGAGATTACGAAAGGTCTCACATAAACTCTTGTAGGTAGTTCTTATAATGTCTTTAAGTAATTCACAGTTAGAACCCAGTATTACGCCAGTCCAACAACTGGGTGATATTTATAATTTTAACAGACATTTTTGATTCTTGTGTTACAAATGCATCGTAAAATTAAATTTCAATAAAGGATTATTAATAATGAAAAGTGAAACTCGCATTTATCAATTTATTTAAACATTTCCCATATGCAGGTAAGATAGCTACTATTATAAATCTTATAAACACGTATTATCTGTTATAACATACAAATATACATTCTCTTTGATAAGCCTATTTCACTAAATATATATTGGTATGTCTTAAATATTAGGTTCTACGGGTCGCTAACACCAAAGGCGGAAAAATTGGTTCCGGTACCTAATTACGTAACAATGGAGCGTGTAAAATAAACCATAAAATGTTCAGAATACAGGAACAAATTTTTTTTTAACAAAGACACAGAGTATGACAGCACAATGAATAACAGCTCAGATAACAATATGATGCGAAAATTGTAGCGAAGTGTTTTTCTTTTCCGCATAAAAATTTTCGAGCATTTGTGGGCTTTTTCTCGTAGAAAAAACAGGTGAAAATGATGCAGTCCGTGAGAAGATGAGGTTTCCTAGTGGGTGTGGTTACAAAGAGCAGCGAGGATAAGAAGAACGGGGGCGATGAATAGCCAGTAGTAAGAGCCAGGTTGGTGTTGTTGAGATTAGATTGAATTTTCAAACTGTAGTTGCAAATTTCTTGAGCATTTGAATTGCAAAAGCAATAGAAAGTAGCGAAAGTCTAGGCCCCTTGAAATGAATCACCAGACAGAGAGAGAGAGAGAGAGAAAGGATAGAGAGAGAGAGAGAGAGAGAAAGGATAGAGAGAGAGAGAGAGAGAGAGAGACAGTACTTAAAGGTAGTTCGAGCTCACTTATCGCTCGCTGTCGCTGCAGGTGGAGTAGAGCGGTGGTTTGGCTGAGGTGAGGGCGTTCAAAAATACAGGGACGCATAAGATCATCTGATCATCACTCACTTCACCCCACGTGGCACTGTCCGAGAAATTCTCATGCTAACAAAATAGGTCGGCAGCAATTCAGCTAAGCACCTATAGAAAAAGAAAATTGCTAATCGTTCCAACTATATGGAGATCTTTTTCCAAGCCATACGGGTATGTCTGAACTTGAATTGTTACTTCGATAGGTGAGCGTATGTGAACCTGCCAGCACTTACTATGCATTGAAAACGGGTGTGTCTGTAACTAAGCGGTTAGCCACCATGACAACGTCGCTGTGTATTCCTCTGTTACTTTCTCTCTCATTTAACACTTGCTAAAAGGAGAAAATGAGATAATAAATGTGAATAAATAAAAAGTAATAGATGAATGATTGAGAGAGAAAAACATAATGAGGGAGCAATTATACCTATTGTTTGCGTAGGACGTAATAAATAAAATTAATTTAATGATGATGAAATTAGGTGAGATAAGGCAGTGTGTATGGGTTGTGCTAAATAATAGGATAAGATTTGAGTAAATTGATTTCGTTTAATGGCATAAAAAAACCTCCTCGAAGTGAGAAGGAAAAAAGCCGCAAAGGCGAAGCAAATTATAAATTTAGTTATTGATAAGGGATTAGAATTACAAAATAATGCACTATTATTATTACTAGAGTGAGTGAGTAAGCAAATGGATTACGCTGATGCGAAGTGATAAGGCTCGCAGAGCCTTTACAAACGTTGCGGTGGAATGGCCATTCACTTGTTAGAATTCGAGAGCTCTTTTTACCTTTGGACGACGCACACACACACAATGATTGAGCGAGCGAAGGGAGAAGGTGCTGCCAGGTAGGAAAGGTGCATGCAGCTCCAATGCCTTGGACACGGGTACAGCCCTTACTGCTATGTCACCGAGTTGCCGATCTGAGGGCGCGGGGTTTGACAGCACCCCAGAGGAAACTGAAGTCACCTCTACTAGCGCAGCGAGTTGATTCGTCGCTAGTCTCTTTGCGGTGGTCGTCAAAGGGTTACACACACTGCGGTACAACACACGCGTTTTGCTCGAAGCAAACGAGCACACCCAAAAATACAAGCGGTCGAAGACGACGCGAAACAAATATGTTAGCGATCGCGCGTCGGTATAACTGCAGAAGAAAAAGAGATGCGCACGAGAAGGAGCGTAATAGTTGGCTACCGTTCCGGTCGAACTCTTTTTCAAGACTCAGTTCTGACGTGGCGTCTTGTTGGGAATGCCACTATGGCGAAAAGCGCGGAAAGGCGGGAAAACTACCCTCTCTCTTTGGGCCCCTTTCGCAGGATCCAATCAGAGATTAGCGGGAGCGTAGCGAAGAGAGTCCGCGCGGAGTTCGGCAACTCGAGGGCCAGCGGCGAGCGAGAGAGAGAGTGTGCCCTTTTATATTGCCCAACGCTGCGGGCGGAGCGGCCCGGGCAATTAAGGAAAACCCGAACTTGCCGAACTTGTTTATGATGGGATGAGCGTAACGGTGTTTTGGAAGGTTTATGAGAGTTTTTTCCTCTGAACCGAGACAATTTATAACTCGTCCTAAACTGAGGTAGCAAACGGAATATCTACGGTTGCAAGTAGAGTACGATGAAAACAATGAGCACATTTAGAGAAAGTTTTTGGGAATCCCCAGCGCAATTAGAGAATAAGCACGTATTTTGAAAAAGTAATTTGCTGCGAAAAATAAAAGTAAAAGGTGAAGCGAGAGAACGCGTAATTGTAAAAATAAGGGAGCGGATTCGCCGCGAACACCTACTATAGTGTTAGATGTATATATGATCATTAAAGATTTAGACATATAATTATTGAAAATATAATATTGTAAATAACATTAAAAAATGTATTCATTTTTCAGGAAAAATTGACGAAAAGGCTACTCAACTGCACGCTATTGCATCATTAAAAGTATTATTGGATGCAACTAAATCAAATAATGGAACAGCAACGTCTACATCGGCATCATACGCTAATAACGAGATAAATGAATTATCTGGAGAAGGTCAAGAAAACTCAAAAAAAAATATAATATCTAGTGAATCTCCTGTACCTCCCGCTCTATTTATGAATGGAAGAATATCGGCTACGCAAGAATCATCAGACAAAGGAATAGAATCGGTAAATTATTATCTCAATTAACAATAATCGAATAATCTTTTAGAAAAATTGTATTTTATTATAATAATATCATGAATATCGAATTTTTTATCTTCAATTATCATAACCGAAAGATAGAATTTCAAGTTTTATATCGGGAAAAAAAAAAAATTTATAAATGTAATTTTCATTAATATATCGCTTTACGAGTATATTGCTCATTACTTTCTGTAACGAGCAGGCTCGTTAAGAGGTAGATGAGCGAGATTTGAAATAGCGCGCCATGCGCAAAAGACCCGCGCAGCGAGAAAGAGAGAGAGAGAGATAACTACGACACGCGGGCTCCAGAGAGTACACGTGAGACCGGCAAGCGGGCAAGGCACGCTGGAGGTCCTTTTCGTTTTCTTGGTGCGGAAAGAAAATTGAATAGAGGAGAATCGGTTCTGTGCGGTGACCGACGAAAGCGGTGCGGAACGAATACTGTGAAGGTACGGAGAGATCAACTACGAGTGAGGATCAACGGGAGCCGATCCAAGATCACCGTACGACCCGAGGGCCTCGATACGTCGCCCACCACCCATAAGGACGGGCCGACAGAACACTCACCCTCGGCGACTCTGGGCGACGTCGATCGAGCATTTAGGTTCGAAACGCAAGGCGTAGCTGTCTGCAGCAGCGTTCGCCCGCGTAAGTTTCTTCCGTTGTATCAATATCGCATGCGAGAGTCCCGGGAAGGGAGCGTATATAAACTGCGTCGGCTGCGTGCCATTCGTAATATTATTGTCTGTCTCTCTCTCTCACGCGTACGTATGATTAGGCTGTGCGCCGCGAGTCTCTCGGTCAATATGGAATGTGCGTTAACGTGTAAATAAGTAATGAATAAAATCCGCTGTGAATATACTGAATAAATCGGCAAATTCATTCGATAGCACCGAATTTTCTCTACGTTCCCTTCTCCCTTGCAACGTTTTCTAAGAACCTACAACCACCGCTCTTTCGTATTGTTCCGTGCTTTCGCGCTCGTTTTCAGGTTGCGCGTCCAGCACAGAGCTAGCCAAAAGAGGAAAACGGCGGTGACATAGATATTTTGTTAACGGACGGCGATTCACTTCCGAAGAAATCAACAACCGTTACATTTCATAAATAATACGAGAAACAATTATTTAGTTTTTAAATGTTATTATTAACTGGAAGTGCATTAAACAACATTTTTTTTTATTGTAAAAATAAATTTTAAAATTACACAGATTTTCTAACCGTTTTATTCAAATAAATTGCTTCATTTCATCATAATCAGACGTTCGAAAATAAACTATATATTATAGCTTAGCGTAACTTAAAAGTAAGCCTACCTAGGTGTACCTTGTCAAATGGCATCAAATTTGCAGAATTATAAAATATTAAACAATATTTTATATGTATTTTTTTATATCGGCCGCGCGTCGGCGCTACTGCCAAACTTATCGACTTATCGGCGTCGTAGAGCCTGTGAGCGTCCACTATTATCGCTCACTGTGTCACTCATTGCTCGATGAACTTTAAAACGGATTCTTAAAGAAAAAATGTCAAGCAGTTCAATAAAATAACATTTTTTGTGATATGGTCAATTGTTTAAAAACAATGTTAGTGACTTTTAGAAAAATTGATATTAAAATAATGTTCGCTTAATATCTTCAAAGTACACCCTTTTATACGTAATTTAAAAAAATTTGCTTCGATAACTTAAATGGTTGCGGAGATATCAATTTATGAACATTTTTCGTCAAAAATTTTCAATTGTTTATAACTTTTGATATAATTATTATAATAATCTAATAATTCATACTTAAATACACAACCATATAGGCAATATGTAGACCACAGGTTTCAAGAAAATCCAAAACCTACCCATGAAAAGTTGATCGTCATAGTTTGGAATGTGCCATATTAGTTACACAGCCAAAGTGACTGGAACGGTGTCCTCTTCCCCCTTCCGATAATCCGAAGTGCGATTTAAAATCAGGTGTTATCATTTATATATGCTTGTATGTATATATGCACGCAAGAATGTATGTACTGATTATTAATGAAGTAGTGAAGCAGGAGGGGTGGTCATGTGGTAAATATATACGATGTTTCTTCTTAAATGAAATGTTTTTATTGATGAAAATAAATCTTATTCTGTAAGTAATATATTTAAAAAATACTTATAAAAATCCTTTAATAATTTCATCGCTCTCTTCCCAATCTATGCAGCAACCATTTATGTAAAACTTTTTCCTAAATTTGACGTTTTGATGTGTGCACGTGGTTCTGTATTTACCGTTATGATTAGGACACACAGTAAATGATTTCGGATGTCGGGTACGCCTTCTCATTCTCGCAAAACTTCGCAATTGCTTGGTCCTGATTTATTCCCTCACTTGGTTTATTAACGTATTTCACCACATGAATAATTTTTACTCATACTCTCAAGTGCAACTATGATGAGGGCGGAAATAGATTCCAAGAAACCGCCCTTTTATTGGCTTAGGCATTACGTGACGTCAGTGGCGCTCTTCTAACTCCCTTTATTTCAAATTTACATGTATCTCACGCATACTTGTTTTCTTTCGTCGAATGTGTGAGTTGTCAAGTATGTTATTTAGTATCGTTTATTACGCATGGTCAAGTTTCAGCGTCAATTGAAATTTAATTTCGAATTCGTATTCCGTGTTATCTTAGTATGATCGCATGCTCTCATATGGTCTGTCTCGCTCGCTCTTACTTAATCAGTCTCGCTCGCTCCCACTCAGTCCACCTCGGCTACTTAAAATGGCCACCACCACTCCCGCGTTTATACCTCGTGCCCCGTTACCAGTCTCTGGAGCACTTCCTGGGGTGCTCCCGGTCGGTAGTGTGTACGTTTTTGAATGCTCGCCAGTGGTCAGCAGTAGTGTATGTGGCGCTCAGAATGTCGTCGATGGTGCACAGCCGGCTGCCGCTTCATGCCCGATTTCCTAGTCGCTCCAGGTGTAACAGCTTCCCTCGAATGTCTGTGGTTGTACCCGAGTGTGTAACGCGTCCAAGCATTTCTTTCGCGTGCATATCCGTTGCGTTTTTCCGTTAGTTTTTCGTGTGCTCATCCTTTCAGCCAGCAACACGTGGTTGGAATTATGTGTGCGTGCGCTCCTGTTTTCTCTCATCCATCGGTGCATTTGAAAATAAAGTAGTATTTCTGTTAGTAAGTAGGGCATAATTATTCGGCTAGTTACGGGGTGGTAAGGGGCGGGGATAGCTTTCTTGAGGTGTTACAAGTAGTACAACACTCGCTGGGAAAGCTTTGTAATGCACCGCAATGTTAATGTTGCGATAATTGAATACGCTAGAATTAACTGTTGGAATATTTTTTCATTTAGTTTGAAAAGCTAAGATAATATAATATGGTTTTTTCAATTGATTTGCAGTTTTTACTATTCATACATGACTTGTGTTCATAGGTAGCATTGAATACTCATATTATTCCCAACTACGAAACTCGTTGAAATACTTCTTTCTCTTTCAGAAAATGAAGTAGATAAATTTTTTAAGTATTCGATTTTGTAACATACGGCATAAGCTATTTGATGCGTGTTATATCGATCTTGAAGTTTTCGATGATTATTTCTACTCCCACTAATTTTGTTGTTCGGATAACGGTATTTAAATCCTACTCGATCGTGTGAGAATTAGTTCAAGTTTCATATTTATCGTATCAATACTTTGCGATAATTTTCAACAAATCTGAAAATCAAGTTTAAAGGAATAGTGACATCGACTAGCCCATCGTTGATGTTGTGACATATGATTGTTATCTTCTTCCTAGCCACATATTTCTATGCGACATTCAAAGCAGTGCACCCATTAATTAATGATCAGTACATACATACATACATATATAAATGCATACATGCACACATGCACATATACATACAAGCATATACAGGGTGTCCAAAAAGTAACGATACACCTGAGAAATTTTCTAAGCCGGTTATTTTTTTAACCGGGTGAAGGTTGTTCTTGAAGTAACTTTTTACGAGGAATCCGATGGTAACCTTGGATTTGACCTTGAACCTCATTTTCAAGGTTATTTTGAGGTCAACCTCATTTTTTTAAATGGAAACCCCTATTTTTTATGGCGGAATCGGAAAGAGCGGAAAATTTTACGTCCAGATATGTATTGAGGTATGAGGTTGAGGTAACCCCTAGAGGTCAACTGGAGGTCAAAGTATGAATTCTTAAAAATCTCGCGAATTCAGTGGTTAAACAAAACAAACAAAAGGATAACCCCAGGTAACTTTCAACGGTGCTCTTTAATTTGTCCTTGAACCTCATTTTCAAGGTTATTTTGAGGTCAACCTCATTTTTTTTAATGGGTACCCCTATTTTTTATGGCGGAATCGAAAAAAGTGAAGACTCTCACGTATGGATGAGTTGAGGTTTGAGGTTAATGTGACCTCTAGGGGTCAGATGAAGGTCGAACTGTGGCTTTGTAATAGTACCGGGATTTTAGTGGTACAAGGAAGCAAATAAAGGTCATGGAAACCCCCATTTTCGACAGCGGCAATCGAAAGAGCGGAAAATTTCACATCCAAATATCTACTTAGATCATAAGTCAAGGGCGAACTTAAAGTTTAACGTCAGTCGAAGGTCATCCAAACTTAAAGACGCCCTAAAATTTTTTAAAGTTTTTTTCATAATGGAGAAGGGTATTTATTTAGTATTTGCCCATCGGAGATCCGTGACCTTGAATTTAACCTTCAACCTCATTATCAAGGTTTTTTCAAGATCAATTTTTTTACTTTTAGCGTTACCCAGGAATAACGACGTGGACGTAGTAAAATACCCCTTTGGGGTGCTTTATTTTCGTGAGTTCCCCTCGCCTCTCACGATCGGGGTGCTTGATTTTTGTGAGTTCCCCTCGCCTATCAACAATGATTTTTTACGCTTATTTTCTTAATCACTTGATTAGCCGGTTAAACTTTTTAAGGTTACTATCCCATACCTATTCATTGAAAATCCAC